ATCGTAACCAATACATAACAAAAAAATTAAAATATTTAAAAATATTTTTATAAAATAGAGTTTGAATTTATTTTTATAAAATATTTTAAACTTTAAAAAATTAAAATCGTAATATTTAAAAATATTCAAAAAATTAAAAAAATCGTAACATATTTTAATATTAAAATATTTAAAATCTTAACAAAATTAAAATATTTTTAAAATATTTAAATATTTAAAATATTTAAAAAATTAAAATATTGATTTTGAAAAGAGTTTTGAATTATGTGTTTAGTTATGAGTTTTGAAAAGTAATGATTATGTTTTGAATTGAGTTTTGAGAAATGGATATAGAATTATGATTTGAAAGCTCAAAACAAACACCACACTCAAATCAATTGGTGGAACTATAATTTGAGAGACTTACCAAACGGAGCCTAATTCATTTATTTAGAAATTTAAATTTAGAAATTTGAAAAAAGAAATTAACTAATCAATTTTAATTTTTTTAAAAAATTCTAATTTTTGTTGAATCATTTAAAAAAATTAAAAAATTTGAATTAATATTACTTTTTAAAGTTATGTACTGCAAACTCTTATCATATCTATCTCTCTATATAATAATGATTGAAATTTATTTCAGTTGCTATCTCAAAGATTAGTGATAGAGTCAAAAAAAATGTGTAGGTCTATAAGTTTTAAAGTAAATATTTTATGTTACAAAATTTTATCTCAAAGATTAGTGACACTACAACAAAAATGATCTTTAGAGGAGAAAACTAATGACGGAAATAAATTTTGTCACGAAATATATACCTTTTAATGACGAAAATAATATTTTGTCTCCAAATTTACCATTTTTAGAGATAAAAATAAAATTTCGTCACCAATCTAAATATATAATAAAAAAATTAGGTAACGAAATTATTTTTTGTCATTATTTATATTTTTTTTGTCACCAAAGATTTTCCCGCTAATTTTTTTCGAAGGGTGCCAAAATTTTGAAACTTTTTGTGAGAAAAAAATTGGTCACAAATTATAAAATTATTAATAACAAATATATTTTCGTCGCCAATAATTTTTAATATTTTAATATCATTTAGTGACAAAACTATTTTTGTGGCCAATATTTTTATCTTTGGCCAAAATTTTGAGTGCCAAACACCCCCCTAAAAATAAATAAATAAATAAATAAATAAAAAATCCTAGCTCCCAACACAAAAATAATTTAGACCTCTAAAAAGAAAGATATAATGGAACACTAATTTGTCTTTTTCCTCCTCATTTTTTATCTTTTATTTCACTGTCTGTTCTTTTTCTTTTTTTTAGTAAGTGGACAATCTATATAATAAGGCAAGAGGGGTTTTGAAAATGTATAAAATGTATGTGAGATACATTTCATTTAAACGGCTCAGATCAATTCTAATAAACATCTATGGCTGAGATGATTTTCATTCCCACCCAAACACTCTGTGCTCTCTCCCTCTCCCACCTACCCACGTCTCCTCCCCCATTCCATCTTCATCTCTCTCCCTCTCTGCTACACGTCTCCTCATTTCCTCTTTATCTCTCTCCTTCTCTGTTATTCTTCCAGAACCACCAAAAACACCTGCCTCCCCAACTTTCCTCTGTATCTAAAACTTTTTCTCTTTGTTTTACTTTTTTCAGGTTGATGATGATCTACGGATGGTGATCCAAGTTGGGCTTTGTTCCAATCAATCGGTGTATCTTCTTCTGCTATTACGAGGCAAAAAGCTTCTATAAATCTTCGAGCTCTCTTTGATTTTCAAACCCACAATGCAACAAAGAAAGAGACAGAGAGACCTGATCGAGAGAAGCACGAGAGAAACCACGGGAATGAGGGATGTTGCGAGATAAATCTGAAACTGGTAGTTTACCAGTGAAATCGATAGCCCATCTTCGATTCATTGACACTCATTTCCCATTATCCATTAAAAAACAACACTTTTTTCATATTTTTTTTTATGTATCTGAAATTGGTAGTTTATGAATCTTTTTCTCTTTGTTTCACTCTTTCAAGTTGATGATGATCCAAGTTAGGTTATCTTCTTCAGCTATTAAGAGGCAAACAACTTCTACAAATCTTTGAGGGCTCTGATTCTCTCTCTCTCTCTTTCTCTCTTAGCAGCACTACAACGATGTATTTAGTATTTTTCTTAATAAAATATCTATTTCAAACATCTCTTTGGTTTTTGTAGCCCATGGTTTTCCAAAACCATTTTTGGGAGTGATTGGAGGGTTTTTTGAATTATTTTGAGTTGGTTTCCACATGGGCTTATGAAGATGAAGCAATGCCTGTTGATGCAAACTTGGTGGACTTAGACCGTGTTTGATGGGTTATTATTTGAAAGGTGGTGTCTTGGTCCCAAGTTTAATTTAGTAAATAGGCGTTAGGCCGTGGGTTGTTGTATGGTGTTCAACCACAGTTCTACTGAATTGTTTAGTGGGTTGTTCAACCACTTTTTGTATAATTGTCCATATATTTATGATAGAGGGTACTTGGGGTACATTGTTGATGTGGGGGTGTTTTAATTAGTTATTTTATTAGGTTTCCTTTTTTGGGTATGGGATTTGTTATATTACTAGGATATGTTCTTTGTAAATGTGTAATATTTTGTCTTTAATTTATGACTTACCTAAAAAAAAATCTCTCAGATCAGCTCTGAATGGGTTTTATTTTGAAATGTGTTTTGATTTATGAAAGGTTTTATTGAGTTTGGATTTGTATTTTTAAGATTTGGGTTTGGGTTTGTGATTTTTAATGTGTTTTAATGAATTTTCATTTTATTTGAAAAATAGATCTAATTTTTGTAATTTTTATTTACATCGTGCCTTCAGTGAGAAATAGGAGTGGGATTAATTATTTAAAATTTCACAAATACCCTTTACAATATTATCAAATTTAGGTTTATACCAACTAAAGAATAAATAGATTTTTACTCAATGTTATTTTTCTTTTCTTTTTTTATATTTTTTAAATATTAAAGAATCTAACTATCAAAAAATTTTTACTCAATGTTATTCCTTTTTTTTTTTAATATTAATGAATCCAACTATCAATAAATTTTTACTCAATGTTATTTTCACATTTTTTTTTTTGGTGCAAATATTAAAGAATCTAACTTTGAATAAAATTTTACTCAATTATTTGTATTTAATATTACATGAGCCATATTACAAGGCTCATTCTAAGTTTTATAACAAATTTAGCAATAAACACAAGGGCAAAATAATCAATTAACCCATAGTCCTACGGGATTCATTTTGAATGATGCTATTAGCACCCCCATAAATTATTTTGGACCCTCTAATTTTTAATTTTTTTTTATTACAATAATAATCTCAAATAAAATTACTACAAAGAATATCATTAATTTTGGAACATAGATCTAAACATTATTTTTGAGGGAATATCATTAATTTAATAATTTTATTTTCAATTACATTTCAATTTAATAATGATATTTAGATCATATGCCCGTGCCTAAATTTATTCCCTCAAAAGTAAAAATATATCAATAGCATAATTTTATTATAAAAATATATCATTATTTACATCGTGTTTTTAAAATATATCAATATATCAATTTTTTTTTTGTTTGGCCCAGGTGTGATATATCTTAAGGCACACATTATATTCTAATTCTAACGATAGCCAAATTTTTGTTTGGCCCAAGAGTGATACATCTTCAAGTTTGTTGGTGAAATTGAGGTATTGATCATCATTTATGTTGGTGGAATTGATCTTGCAATTTATGTGTTAAGCTTTATTAATCTGGGTTTGAGTTGTTTGAAGTGTGATAAAATTACCGGATTTTGTTTGTGCATATCAACTCCAATTTTGTCATTTTTGTTGCATTTGTGTTTTTGTTCATAAAAATTAATTCAAAAACTTGGCAGAAAGTTTGTAATCTCTAGGGTTGTGTTTATTTATGTGTGTGAGAATATGTATTTTATCTTTCAAGTTCTATTTTTTTCCTTTTTTGATAAATTTCTTGACCCACAACAATGGTGAAAACAGTGTAGAGAATACCCTAAAAGTTCCATGGTCATCATCTTCTCCATTTATTCATCAAATCCAAAGCTCACTGCCCGTGGGACTAAAGGAGGGGTGGATTCTGCGAATGTACTCTCAGTTTTTTAAATTTTTTTATTTTATTTTTTATTTTTACATAGTCGTATTATTATTATTATTATTTGAACAGAAGATATTCACTCTCTTCAGGTACATTGTTGGATGGATGTTGTTGTGGTCCTTGCTTTATTGTTCCAGTCCCTTGATCTAATTTCATGGTGTGTTCATCTGAGCAAACCAAATGGATAGTTTTATTTGATTTTTTTTTAAAAAAAATTATCAGTTGTTCATAGCATTTTAGTGCACAACGTTAACTCATTAATATTCTTTAATATGATGCTTGGGTTCTATTGGGAATTAAATTATTCAATCTATTTTTAGTTTACAATTATTTTTTTTAAAAAATTAATATTATCATCTATAACTTAAGGAAATAGAGAGTCTTCGTTTGAGAAGAGAGAGGAATGGGGGGATATTAGTCGGTGAGATAGAGAGAGACAGTTGAGAAGATTAATGTTTTACAGTCTTTGGGGGAGAGAGACTGAGATAATAGAGAAGAGGAGAGAGAGTGGGTGAGAAAATTAAGAGATTGCAATTTGGGGAAAGTGCAATTTATCTTGGAAACATTTTTTTTTATTAAAAATATAAAAAACGCTACATATTCTTAAAAAAATACAACTTTATAACTCTCACTCACTTGTGATTGGTCCATATGATTGGTTTGCATCAATTTGGGAGTCATGGAGGTTTCTAATTTTGGGATTCCTGAAATTTATTTGAGTTACTAAAAAATTAGTGTTTCATTTGAGTTTCATGTCTTCATTTAGAAAAGAAAAGAAAAAAAACAAAAACAACAAATTTAAATACATTTCTCACTAATTTTTATTTATATTTTAATCTCATCATTAATTGTATTGTGTCTTCGGTCACGGCCATACGCTAGTCAATCTATACAGGGAAGAGCAAAGAACATGATTCAAAGGGGGAAAATGAGAAGAGAGGGAGAAGATAGAGGGTTCGAAGGGGAAGGGAAGGGTTTCAATGTCTCTCTTTGGACACTTCGACGGTATGGCAAGACTGGTTCCGTGATAATAACGATCAACGGTACGTACTCATCTCATCTCCCTCAAACATCTACATACCTAAACGATTGTCAAGCATAAGCTTATAATCACTCCCTTTGATGAGGCTAAGGCCGCGAATGGCAAGAACGATCTCGCGGTGGAGATGGTCGGCGTAGATGAGGTAGGGAGGGGCGTGGCCATGGGTTTGTCGGGGTCGAGGCGGTTGAGGGGAATTAGGGGTGCCCCTCTCTCTCTCTATATATATATATATATGTATGTATGTATATGACTGTTTTTAGATTCTGATGATTCTTATCTCTGCTACCATTACTTTGTTCACAATTTAACTACGATTTCTCAATTCAATCTTCACCTGTTTTAGGGCTATTTGGATTCATCTTTATATCTTAATCTGTATATGCATATGTGAAATTACTATTTCAAACAACTGTGCATTTTTATTGATAAAGTTTGCCCCTTTTTTCAAATCTTGAATAGTTTTCTTGTGTTATGAGCCAATTTCTATATACTCCAGTGGTTTTTAGCATTCCTTTTTTAAGTATTTGGATATGGGTCAAGCAGATGGTATAGGCTTTTCTAAATTTTTATTTTATTTTTAATTTTATTTTATAGCTGCTGATATATGCTATGCACTTGGGTCATTGTAATTCAGACATTTTGTCTGTTCCAAGCTTGTGTTTATTCTTTGGTGGGATAAAGGAGTTGAAAATCTGATTAGAGGGAAAGGAAATGAGGAGAGGGAGGGGATTTAATGGATCATCTAGGTGGATAAGCTTATGGCTGTAGATAGTGGAAGTAAACAGATACAATTGAGAAATGGAAAGGTTAAGAGGAGTGCTGATGAGCATAGAAATGGAGGATGATAAGGGTACAAAAGGCCAAATAAAACAAGAGTCTTGGTAGGGATCCCTAAAACAAGAGTCTAGCTAGGGTTGTGCCATAGGTGTTTGATTCTGCACATATCAACATCTGACATGTAACAGTCCATCTCATTAGGGATAAATTTACGGGTCTCAAGCTTTTTCATAATACAATATTGGAAAAGACCATGAGGAAGCAAGCAGCTAGAGAGACAGGAAAGCTCTCAAGTAGGAGAGAGTTGTCTTATGTATCGAAGTATACTACTGACATAATTCCCACCTCCCACAGGGAAAATAAAAATTTGTTTTTACTTTCAAATCAAGGTCAATTCTTCAGGTCATAGCTTGTGTTGGCTTCATACTAAACTTGTTTCATTATCCTTTCCAGTCCTGATTGAACATGTGCTAGTGGATTGCATCAGTTTTTATATATGGCTGTTATTAAGATGGCTTAAAAAGATTATACATTCTTTATTATATGTTCTTTCAAGCAGAATGTACAATCTATTTAAGCTTCTTAACATGTGTCTTAAGGGCACACATTGAACAAATCCTTTTTGTATTTGTAGTTCTTGACTTACCTATGCACTTTTAGTAAATTGTTCATCCATTCATTATCACTTGTTTGTGCTTTTCATCCACATGATATACTCTCTCATAAACACGGACATGTTCAAAATGAATTTCTGTGAGCATGAATTGTTCTGCTTTTATGAACTTAGTGGTATGTTTAATACTAACTGTGTTTATAAATAGGGGTTCTCACGAGCAGCAAGCTCAGCCAAGTCCACAAGAGATTCCTACAAATTCATGGTATCCTTCATTTGTAGTTAGCTCTCCAAGTTCTTCCCGCCCAACAACTCCTAGTAGCACATCTTCTAGTAGCTTCAGTGTACAAAGGCATGTAGATCGGCCAGAGTCACAATCTCATGTTTCGCCTGCAGTGGCTGTTGGCATTATTGTTCTGTTAAAGGATAAGAAGTAAAGCTCATGGATCCCTAATCCATTATTATTACATTGCTAATTATTATTTTGTAATCATGATATGTATCATGTATCATTGTTATGATATATCATATTGTGTATCGTTTAGATGCATTAACATATATGAGTATACATTTAAAAAATAAGATTTCTAGAAATGTGTCCTCGATTGCTTTTAACAGTATGTGAAATAGAGTACAATTTCCATATTAATCTGTTAGTGTGAGTTGAAACTCCAAAATTGCGAATAATGGGTTGAGAGGAGGGCAACCAAGTTTTTAATTTTTTTAATTTTTAAACCAAAGAAAAAAAGTAATTTTTTTAAGTTTTGGGGTTTGGTAAAAGTGACTTCTCTTTTGGAAAAATAAATTGTTACATTTTATTCTCTTGAAACTGCAATAGTCCATTGTTTCCCCCCCAAAAATTACAGGTTCTTTTTTCTGTTGACAAATTCATAGGCTTAGGTTCTTCTTTCTCTTTGTATGAATGCTTGCATATGCTGTGTTATTTTGTTTGCTTAGGGAATTAGACTTCTTAAGCTTGATGTTGTAATTGTTAAGATTATGCTTGTAGGCGTAATTACTGCTTTTTAAGATTTCCTCTATTGCGTTTTCTAAATTGTGAATTTCTTCAGATTTCAGTGGGTTCTCATTTATACCCTAAGAATCCAGTCCTCCACCTTGGAAGTCAGCTCAACTTCAGTGTAGAAGGTTGGTGTATGATAAAATTTTACATTAATTTTCAGTTGGTCACAACTAAAACTCACAAATCCATTCCGGAAATCTAGATCTAAAAGACAACATTGAATTAGTGTTTAAAAAGCCATACTAATTGTATCTATCAGGTGGAAATCTTAGTCTGAAATTGATGAATAATTTAAATGCCAATTTTTTTGTTTCTGAAGACAAAGTGGAGCTTTAAGGTAATTGTTACTTTTCCATTTTCCTTTTTATGGTAGGATTAAATGATCAAGTGTTTGGCCGTTGGTTGAGTGCCAATGAAAGTGTTATATATGTGGACATGATATCTGGAAGGTACTACTCGAGGTATTGAGCAGAATATTTTTCCCTTTGCTGTTCTAGATGTTAACAAACGTTCCTATCCCAGCAAAAGGATATAGCTTCCCTGTGAGGTTCAGGTTTGTAAATTGGCCTTTTTGTCTTGACAACAACTAGAATTTAGCGTATCTTTATGTCCATTGCTTGGAAGCTAATGATATTAAGATTATTTCCCTGGATTTCATTTTGGTCATACATTGTCTATAATTTCTGAAATTTGTGTCTTTGGAAGACAAATGAACTGGTAGAATTTACATACTCAAAATAAAGGTTCTGCCTTGAGAATTTCTTAATTGAGCATGTTCAATTCAAACTTTTTCTTTTCTCTTATGTGCTGCTTCTTAAAGATTCTTGCGTAGAAATTTCTCTGCCTTGACATCGTAGTATTTGAGTCGTCGACTTTGTGAAAATAGCTTGTTTGCTTCCTTAATTGCTAATCAAACTGTCTACAACCTTTCCAGTGGTGTTTCAATTAGGTTTCCTTTCCAAAAGTTACAAGAAAACTTTTTTAAAGCATTTTTCTTTTTGTGAGTGTATACATTTATTTCATTGTCGATTTTTTTGAAATCCTAATATACAAAATTGTTTATTGTTCAATTTACAACTTACAAAAATGATACAGAATCTCTTGGAAGCTTGTACAAACAAATGCAATATGAGAAAAGAAAAAAATTTCATGTTTTCATCACGAGGAACATTGCATCAACTCCCTGCAAAGAGTTGGGAGGGGTGGGAATTAAGAGACTAGGAAGAAATTTGATAATCACTTTGTGTGTACAGGATTATTTGGCACTTGTTACACTGTAAGAAAAATAAAATGAAAAATTCTGATGAAAATGTTTCAGTATGTGTTTCAGTATCACCTTTAATCTTATGTTGTTTGAGATTTCATTTATATTATTGCAAATTTTTTAGATTTTTAGGTGGTTCTATTTCATTTTGATAGTTTATCTCGATGGATTTGATCTCCATTGCTTGTATCTTCAACAACCTTTTTTCAAATATTGGCTTTCATTATGTGCTGTTAACTTGTATATGTTTGGCATCCCGTCACTATTAAATAACATACAGAAGTATTTGTTCTTCTAATTGATCTATTTGTTTTGTTGTGAAAGTGATGATCATTACTACAAGTCTAAAGCTCCTCGGAACAATGTGCAAGTCCTGTATGACTGTAGAGTGGACCTACCTTTTGTCGGGGTTTGTTCCTGTCTTGCTCTTTGCTCTTGTTTTGCACGAAACAACTAATCTACAGTTTCATCGTTCAATGTTGCTTTTATTCTTGTAGATTGTAGATATGCAAAGCCACAGAAGGATCTCTCTGGAAATTCATATTGCCTCTTCTTTCCTTCCTCTCCGGAGCATTAAATACATTCTATTTCTAAGTCAAAAGACATGAGGTAAATTCCATTTTGTTTTCTTTTTGTTGAGCCATCGAACTTCATTTTAACCTTCCATTTTTTAATGCTGTTTTATCACTTCCTCCTTATTAGGGTAGCTAATTTCATCTATATGTCCCTGTCAAAAAGTAAGAAAAGTATAGGAGTGCCACATTGTCGTTAAAAAGTTTTGATGACGAAATCATAGAAATATAGAAAGAAAGTTGCAATGGTTAAAGGTGATTACAAACTAAATGTGTATTTAGATTTTGAATTTGATTGTTAGAGAGAGAGAGAGAGAGAGAATGAAATATGAAAATAAGTCAAAAAATGTACTTTTTCACACTTAAGCTTGAAAATAGGCCATCGGAGGCCAAAATCATGTAACATTCACGAGACGGCCCAAGAACACCTCAAACACGTCGGGAGGGACCAATGTAAGTTGTGGAAACTTATGGAACTAGTATGAGACTCCCAGTTTGAAAACTAAGTTCAAAAATGTACTTTTTCAAAATAGGCCATCAGAGGTCAAAATCGTGTAACAGCCACGAGACGGATCAAGGAACACCTCAAATACTTCGGGAGGGACCAATGTAAGTTGTGGAAACTTACAAAACTAGCACGGGACTCCCAGTTTGAAAACTAAGTCTAAAAATACACTTTTTTCATACTTAAGCTTGAAAACAACCCATCGGAGGCCAAAATCGTGTAACAGTCACGAGAAGGCCTGGGCAACACTTCAAACACCTCGGGAGGGACCAATGTAAGTTGTTAAAACTTACGGAACCAGCATGGGACTCCCGCTTTGAAAACTAAGTCGTAAAAGACACTTTTTTTACACTTAAGCTTGAAAAAATAAGCCATCGGAGGCCAAAATTGTGTAACAGTCACGAGACAGCCTGAGAAATACCTCAAACACCTCGAAAGGGACCAATGTATGTTGTGAAAACTTACGGAACTAGCACGTGACTCCCGGCTTGAAAACTAAGTCTAAAAATGTACTTTTTCACACTTAAGCTTGAGAATATGCCATTGGAGGTCAAAATCGTGTTATAGTCATGAGAAGGCCCGAACAACACCTCAAGCACCTCGGGAGGGACCAACGTAAGTTGTGAAAACTTACGGAACTAGCACGAGACTTCCGGTTTGAAAACTAAGTCGAAAAAAATACTTTTTTCACACTTAAGCTTGAAAATAGGCCATCGAGGGCTAAAATCTTGCAACAACCATGAGACGGCCCGGGAAACACCTCAAACACCTCAGGAGGGACCAATGTAAGTTGTGGAAACTTACGGAACTAGCACGGGACTTCCGGTTTGAAAACTAAGTCGAAAAAGGCACTTTTTCACACTTAACCTTGAAAATAGGTTATCGGGGGGCCAAAATCGTGTAACAGCCATGAGACGGCCTGTGGAACACCTCAAACACCTCGAGAGGGACAACTGTAAGTTACGGAAACTTACCGAACTAGTACGGGACGCCCGGTTTGAAAACTGTCCAAAAATGCACTTTTTCACACTTAAGCTTGAAAATAGGCCATCGGAGGTCAAAATTGTGTAGCAGCCACAAGACGGCCTGGGGAAAACCTCAAACACATCAAGAGGGAATGTAAGTTGTTGAAACTTACGGAACTAGCATGAGACTCTCGGTTAGAAAACTAAGTCTAAAAATGCATTTTTTTCACATTTAAGCTTGAAAATAGGCCATCATAGCCTAAAATCGTATAACAGTCACGAGAAGACCTGGGCAACACCTCAAACACCTTGGGAGAGACCAATGTAAGTCGTTAAAACTTACGAAACTAGCACGGGACTTCCGGTTTGAAAACTAAGTTGAAAAAGGGCATTTTTTTTTCGCACTTAAGCTTAAAAATAGGCCATCGGGGGCCAAAATCGTGCAACAGCCACGTGACAGCATGGTGAACACCTCAAACACCTCGAGAGGGACCAATATAAGTTGTGGAAACTTACAGAACTAGCACGAGACTCTCGGTTTGAAAACTAAGTCTTAAAATACACTTTTTCACACTTAAGCTTGAAAATAGGCCATCGGAAGCCAAAATCGTGTAATAGCCACGAGACAGCCCCGGGGAACACCTCAAACACCTCGGGAGGGACCAATGTAAGTTGTAGAAATTTACAAAACTAGCACGAGACTCCCGGTTTGAAAGCTAAGTCTAAAAATGCGCTTTTTCACAATTAAGCTTAAAAATTGGCCATCAGAGGCCAAAATCGTGTAACAGCCACTAGACGGCTTGGGGAACACCTCAAACACCTCAGGAGGGACCAATGTAAGTTGTGAAAACTTACGGAACTAGCACGGGACTCCCAGTTTGAAAACTAAGTCAAAAAAAGGCACTTTTTCCAACTCTTAAGCTTGAAAAGAGGCCATCGGGGGCCAAAATCGTTAAACAACCACGAGAAGGTCCGGGGAACACCTCAATTACCTCTGAAGCAACCGTTGTAACTTGTATAAACTTACGTAACTAGCATGGGACTCCCGGTTTGAAAACTAAGTCCAAAAATGATTTTTTCCAACACTTAAGCTTTTAAATAGACCATCGGGGCCAAAATCCTGTAACAGGCACGGGAAGGTCTGGAAAACACCTCAAACACCTTGGGAGGGACCAATGTAAGTTGTGGAAACTTACGGAACTAGCACGGGACTCCCGATTTGAAAACTAAGTCGAAAAATGCATGTTAAATTTTATATTTAATTGATAAGATAATAATTGTCTAACTTGCATTCTTTTTTTTTCTTTTTCTTTTTTGTTTCATTTTTTTGCAGATTTGAGATTTGATATGGACATGTTTGGTAATTTGGAGAGTAAAAGCTAGCTCGTTTTGTGTTTTTGTTCATATTACCTTACATGTATTTTGGTTGCGTTGTAAATTTTATATTTTTGTTGGTATTACAGGACATGTTTGGTAATCTGCACTTGATATTATATTTTTGTTGATATTAGTAGACATGTCTTTTGTGGATATTAGGAGACGTGTTTGGTAATTTGCATGCTGTTGATATTGTATTTTTGTGAATATTAGTAGACATGTTTTTTGTGGATATTAGGAGACATGTTTGGTAATCCGCATGCAATTCATATTGTATTTTTGTGGATAGTGCTGAAATTTGATTGTGATATTTATGAAAATGAATAAATTTTTGTATTGATTTGTAATAGATATTATATTGAACAGGTCATTGAAATGCGTAGGGAATTATTACTTCAAAGAAAAAATTTAATTTGAAAATAGTATCCTCATTTTAAATTTTTTTAATTATTATTAGCGACGAAATAAAAAATGTCGCTATTAGATTTCAAAAAAAACATGACGAATAATTTTGTCACTAATGGTATAGTACCAAACAAATAATTACGTCACATTTGTTGAATATTTCGTTGTTAAATTGAAATATTTGGTGACGAAATATTTTTTGTCATTGAAGAATTATTTTTTTTGCTCATTTTAGTGACGAATTTTTTTGTCAACTTAATTTATATCATTGGTGAGGAAAACTTGTCACTAAAATCTATTTGGTGATGAAATATTTTGTAGTTAAAAACAATTAAAATAAAATATTATCTAGTTTTAGTGATGAAATTGATGTTATAGAGAATGAAAAATGCAACATTTGGAGGCGAAAAATTTCGTCGCAAAAAATGAAAAGTAGGCGACGAAATTGTTTTTCGTCACTAGGTATTTTCAGTGACAACGTATAGGCGACAAATGTGGTGACAAAATTTTTTCATCACAAATCACTTTAGTGACGAAAATTTGATGTTTGGAGACAAAATCAGTCTGTCACCAAAAGTCCTTTTTGTTGTAGTGTGATAAAGACAATTTTTAATGTTTTGGTGAATGTCACATTGACATAAATATTAAGTTAACTAGATTTTAACTCATTTCTAATATTTAGTCAAATAATACAAGCCAATCATAATTTATTTTCATGAAAGAGTTCTGCGATAAGATAATTTATAATTTTTAGTGGACAAATTTTTAGGCTTTACAAAATAAGAAAAAATTAATATATTAATAAATGTAATTTATTACTATCATATGCGATGACGGGGTTAGAAATTTGACATATGGGACACTTTCTAATTGAAGTTTTGAATTTTTGAGAAAATTATAAATCAATATATAAGACAAAAATAATTATAAACATATGGGATACAACTTTTCCTATGCAAAAGAAAAACAACAAGAGTTTCACTCATACCTTTTAGTAAATAATTTTCTCACTTCCCACTGTCTTATAATTTTTCTTATATCTTTTTCCACATTAGCAGCAACAGGATGTTATTAATCATAAACATTTATTTTTAAGAACAAAACTCAATAAATACTTACAAATGAATTAAATAGAATTACTTTTAATTAGAATATATGTTTGGAATTTTTTTTTTTTTTTATTACAAGATAGATTAAAAGAAACCCACAAACAAAAAATTTCAGATTTTAATAATTGAACCAAAAAAAAAAATAGTAGAGAAAATGGAATATAAGGAGAAGGGATGAGAAATACAAAGAGTGTGCAAATGTATTCGAGATAGAATCCACTGGTAAAAGTAAAGAATATTTTCACATTTTTCTTAACAAAAGTGATTTGCAAACATTCTATTTGTATATCAATACTCTTTCATATAAAGATTATTTTTGAAAAATTAAAAATATTATGTATTTTAAAATAATTTAGGAGGGGCACTAATATAATTTTATAAGGGATATATTTGAAATACTCTTAACATTTATGGGTACTAGCATAATTTTCTAAAAAATGAGAGGGGTCCCGTGCCCCCATAATCCTTCATTGTCTCTGTCATATGCGAAATTAAAATTACGAAATTTATAAAACGAAATGCATTTGTATTTTATTGTAAATATAATTTTCTTTTGTAATTTCTACCAATTAAATTATAACATGTAATTTTTTATTAAGAACTTATAGCACATAATTAATGACATCAGAATAAAAGCTTTTTCTTATGTGTAACTCTAACAAAAATAAATAAAATTTAATTGATTATAAATTATTTATACTACAAATTTTATATTATTATTTTAATTTAGAAACCAAATTTTGATTATTTGTTAGCACAGATAATATGTTAATAAACAATAATATGAATGGCCCTAATAGGAGATCCCAAATATTTTATTAAAAAATTTACCAAATAGTATAGATCATACATGTGTTTCGCATATGAGTGCCATGTCAAAAATAAAATATTTTATATCTTTAATATTATTGATTTAGCATACACATATACCAGTTTTTGCTTTATCATTTAGAATCAATTATGACATGAGTGTGAATTACACATACACGTGAGTCTTACATCTATACAAGTGTTATGTTAAAATTTTGACAAAATATTTTGCATCTCTAATATTGCTCATTCATGCAATCCTTACTTGCCTTAGCTTTTGCTTGATTACTTGGAATCAACTACATCACAACCATCCCTTTCTATAACACACATAAAACTATTCAGCGTCCTTCGTTTACCATCAACTAATTTTATTAAGGAAAATGCATGAGACCCCCAGTGGGGTACTGGGGGTCTCTTCTGATTGGTCCAAAAAACTGTTTTTTATTTTTTATTTATTTTTTTTTTTTTGGTTTTCAGCCACAAGCAGCCCCCCACGTGGAGGTGGGGGTGCTGGGGGTGCCCTGGAGCTGGGGGTCTCCAGCATTTCCCTTTTATTTATTTATTATCAGAACTCTTCAGCATTACCAATGCCAAGTTGGAGGCAAGCATGATTGTAAACAAAGGGCTCGATAAAAACAATTGGTTTTAATTTCTTGAATTTAATTTTTTTATTTTTCATTTTTTTATTTTTTAATTTTAAGTGAATATTTTTTTAGATATACCTTACCTAAATATATTTAAAAAGTAAAATATTTATAAAAAAATATTTTAAAAAATCAATAAATACACAAGAATACAAAAAATATACTGAATTTTTATTTTTTTGTATTTTTTATATTTAGTGAGTTTTTTAAAGATTTTTTCACAAATATTATACTTTTTAAGTGTATTTATGTTAGGTGTATCTAAATTTTTTTTTAAAAAATGCTTAGAATATTAAAAAAAATCAATAAAAACAAAAAAAAAAAATACAAAAAACGAAAAATTTTAATTTTCTGAAAATTAAATCCTGAGTTAGGAAACCAAACAAAAGTTTAGAAACTCAGTTTTATCCACCCAAAAAATCTGGTTGGATAACTGTGACTAAAATTAAATTTATATAGTGTGCAATTCATTTATAGAATAAACTTGTATCATAAAAAGATAATTTTAAATAATTTCTAAATAATTTAGCCTGAGTTATACTGAGATAAAAAAAAAATCCCTCTTCAGACTCTTGCTTGACCTGATTGGTTGGTTGTCCATATCACAACCACCACCACAACAGAGCAAAGCAACCATTGCATCGCACTGAAATGAAAATATATACTACTCTTCCCTTCCCCGTGTTATCTTTTCTCTAACCCCACACACATATTTGTACCCCCAAATTCACAACCATACATTACCCACACAAATATATTATTAATAATAAGCTCAATGAATCACGACAGGCCCAGGTGTGATGGGTTTGTTTTGTTTACTCTAAACCATGAATGTAGATTGAAGAATGTTTCAACATTAAACCAAATTTTATTTCTCAAATAATACGCAACTCTATAACTAACTTTTTATTAACAGAAAAAAAATAAACAAGAACCAACAATGATAATTGACCTTCCCCAGCTGTCACAATTGAAGGAATGATGCAACAGCCTCGATAATAAAGAACTCAACAAATCGATATAACCAATAGATCCTTAAACATGAACATGTTTAATAGGCTAAACGTTTCCAAGTTATTATATATGTATATACATCTTGCCATATATCCGGATGACAGCAATGAATATATATAAACAAAGAAAGCAAAACAGAAAACCAATAAGCTAAAAAAATGGCAACCTTTATTAGTTCAATAAACTAAAAAATCCCAAAGAAAAAGGAACTACATTTATGACTGACTCACCCCTTGATACCAGAAATCCCTTGATTCTTTCCACTATCCTCACAACTCACCTCCTCCCCGTCTATAAAACCTAGATATATATACGGTGTTGGATTGGCTCTCCTATATGTATGTACAAAATTCCATCAGCTACTAAGAAAACCCTGATTGACCCTTAGTCCTAAAAATAATTAGAGCCCAAAAACTCCCGTCACACCCATCTTGTGTTCAGCATCTGTGTGCATCCTAACTCCCAACCAAGCTCTAAACTGGAAATCCACCTGCTCAAACAAAGGGACCAAAGAAGTCCTCATTTGTTCCAGGACGGCCTCAAGAATGGTTTTCCTATTGAGTCCTGTAAAGCAGAATTCTGATGTGGCACGCTGCTCATCCATCCTATATTGTTGTTCTTTACAGGGGCAGCAGCTTCATGCCCACTCAAGTAGTCAAGTGGATGAGCTGTCGGTGGCAACATATTGCTTGCTGTGGGGACGACTGCACCCACTCTACCATAGGTCCCTGACTGAATGAACCGTTGTTCAGTGGAGCCCATTGAGTCATAAGGGGCACCAGAACGCACCTGATTACATTGAGACACAACGCCAAATAAGCTCTGATCTGGATTACTGCTTCTATTTATTATGGTCTGGGTTGGGCCAACAGCACTAGTGTCCAAAGTGGACCAGTCACCACGGACTTGATGCTCCCCTGAAAACCAATTCCGACCCAACTCTCCACCATCCAAATGAGACTGGAAAGGTGCTGACATGTGGGTGGTATTAGTATTGATAGCCCAATCCTGAACATTGGTATTGGCATTTGAGAAGTGTTCTTGCCGTGGAATAGTGTACCTACTTCCATCAGTGAACATCTTCCCCTGAATGTTTTGATGCATATACATATCATTCGAGCTCTTCTGCCTCAGTTCTAAGGGCAGTGACGGATGCAGATGCTCCCTGAAAAGTCCAGAAAACTGACCCATTTCCATTGAAACATTTGATGCTGGCTGTAAATCTAACCGTGTCTGCTTCTGCTCGTGATGATAAGGTAAACCCCCCTGACCTTTGTAGAAATGTTGTAGTACCTCATTTTGGCCTTGGACTTCTTGGTCAGCGTATGGATTGAAGAAAGACCCATCATTAGATTGTCTGTGCAACAGATCTTTCCTTGTGTCTTCTTCACAATTGTCAGATTCCAGATCAATCAGTCGGACCTGTTGCTGTTCAAAAACTCGTGAATGCCCAAGTGACAACTCACTGGCAGAAGCATATTCATGGTTTAACGTAGACCGATAATAAGAATCTGGCATGCTAACTGGTGGCCAAACATCACTGGTAGAAGAGAGAGGATCCCCCTGACTAACAGCAATGTCTACACTCTTCGAGTTTTCTGAGTATGCTACATTATTAGGATGAATATCATCTCCGTCTATAATTACGCGGTTATCAGAATCCAAATCCATTGAGCAGAAATTGTGACTGCCACTGAGTGTAGGAATTTGCTGCAGATGCTGATTCTGTGTGGAGACATCATCTTCTATAGTGGGTTCGTGTTTTGCTGCCTCATCATCCATCATCTCCTGAACCAAGCTATCAGGGTTCTCTTTCTCTTCATCCTGATCACCCAATAACAAACTCATTAAGTCCGAAATATTATATCCTGTGAAGATTGTCACAATTAAGACACAGGTTTGGCCAGGATCTGACGAACATTCAAAAGGTTGCGTTCAAATGCTTTGATACCCAATCTCACAAAAACACAGAAATTTAAAGAGCACAAACCTCTAATGCAATGGCAGGTTTATGATTTTCTGCTCCATCTATCTGCTCCCGAAGCAAGCTATCCGAATTCTCTCTCTCTTCAACCTGACCACCCCATAATAAAATGACAAGTTACCATACCATATCCACAACTAACAAAAGTTTATTATCGCAATAGCATCAGCACTTCAAAAGGTAAATATACAATATTTTGAACAAGTTGATTTTATATGCTCCAATAACCAGAGGTAAACTAACAGACCTCCACTATTTGGGCTTCATGGTCTGCTGCTCCATTATACATCAGGCCAGGAAGCACGCTATGAGCATTCTCTTTCTCCTTATCCTGATCATCAGTTAAAAACTGACAAATTAGTATTATTCAGCCAATGAAGATTTGCTCAAAATTGAAAACCATTTCAACAAGGATCAATTGAATATTCAATAAATTTGCTTTCCTATCCAAGACACCTACGCACTGAAGACACTGACAAAAGGAGAGGAGCCTAATCAAACCTCCTGAATAGAGTTTAGTTTTTCTTCCATTTCTTGCTCTAAAGATTGTGCCAATTGCCATTTCTGTCGTTGCCACCTTCTCCAGTTTGCAAATGCTACAGGAATATCTCTGGTTGCCAACTGCAACCTGTATAATTAACACTAAACTTTGAAGGGGAGAAACAGCTTAAAATAAAGCCTAAGAAGCATAGACACTTCTAAGAAGTTGACATGTCTGACACCAATATAACATGACATGACATTCATCAGACACTTCCCAAACACCTGTCCGACAAACGTCCAAACATGTCATACTATTTTTAAAAATTTTCTACACTCCGACACGCTTTAGACACTCGGGGAACACATCTCACTTAGATACACATGAAGCACTTAACAAATTAAAAAAAAAAAAAAAAACTTCGAATCTAATGATAAAAGAAAAACAATGTAACTTCAAATATTATATAACATATAATAATTTCTTATTCTTATATATGACATGTAATAAATATATAAAACTACAAATTTTCCGCATGTCCCCTCCACGTGTCGTGTAATACATTATTTGGAAATTTCCATGTCAACACATGTCCATGCTTCTTAGAGTAAAGCAAAACTTAATGTAATTCACAAAACACTAACCAGTGCTTATGCAACTTCATTTGCTCCTCTTCCTCAAATACTTCAAAAGGTTGGACGTGAAAAGTATAGAGGTTACCCAAAACATGATTAAGAGATCTAGATTGAATACTATTACTAGAATGCTTCATGCTACTCTTAACACGTTGATGCTGCTTCCTGCTAACCTGAAATGCAACAGAGGCAGTTGATCAGTCGTAGACACCTTCACTGCATTTACTTTCTTGTCAACAATAAAGAAAATTTACCAAATATTAAAAATTGTAAAAAGAGTAATATTAACTACATTCACTTCCTTCCCTAAGGATTTAAACGAAAATTACAGAATGCCAGCCAATACGTGGACCAAAAAGACAAATTAGCCTTGAGAATCATTTGAGTTGTTGAAATGAAGTGGTTAAATTTTAAAGACAAATTTACAATTTTTAACAATAAAAGCCCATGTTTTAGGAGGATTACATAGACACAACACAAGTGAGTGTGTACTCAAATCAAGGTTTTTGTAGAATTTGTCCTCTTGTTATATGGACTACCTTGATATAAGACATATACTTGGAACCATCACTACACTGGATATTTCTCTTGTGCAGCTTTTCTCCTTTTGTAGGTCTTGCCATCACCTTGAGTGCAGCTGGTAAATTGTCATATTTGTCCTCCATGAAGCCTTTTCTGCATACCACAACACTCAATGCAATTAAATAGATTGCTTCACCGAGTACAAATTGAAAATGTAGCATGCCTCGCATAATATCATAAGCAGGTGACCAAACCATATGATTTATAGACAAACTAGAAAATTTTCAACCCATTCTGAAGACAGATCCCTGATTTGCTCACAAAGGGCTCAAAAACAACAGACGTCAACATATAAGTTTCTTATATGTTATGACACGAGTAATGCTAGAGACCCCTAAATTTAACCACACTGATGTGGCAGGGGGTTCAGTCTTAGTTGGCTGATTCCTAAATAAATTAACACGTGACATGCAACAGTACACTCGTAGGGGGTCAATTTAGGGGTAATGTTTTAGAAGTTGTAACATTTTCCTCGTGACACGTACAGCCAGTCAGTCAACTTTCAGTCAATGAAATTGCGAAGCTGCTATGGAACTCAAGTGAAAAACATTGTTACGAGCCAGCATGTTAATCGCTTGTATGTTGTCAGATATAAGTACGAACAGGGTCTGGAGCCAAAATTCACAACCCTTCCCAACCAAAGAAAGTAGGCATATACTAGGCAGCAGTATGTCATAGAAATAACATAATCATAATGTAGAATGTATTTTGGGTATTTTGGTTAATTTAAATTGTCAATAGGGCTAGTTTAGTATTTAACATTATTTAGAGTTTTGTTCTCTTTTTTACTTTATATAAACTATACATAATTGGTTTTAGGATTAAATAGAATACACACAATTTCTTTTCTCTCGACGTTTGTAATCTGGTATCAGAGCCAATCACTAGAAGCCACAATAATCATGAACGGCCACCGGAGCAGTGCTTGATGGTCATCACTTTAGTTTCACCTTGCAAACCGCAGTGCTTTGACATCATCCACTGGTCAATCTCCTTCATGTTTGGACATCGTCCTGCTTTGATGTCATCTACCTCCATTAGTCACTCGTCAATCCTTGGGTGTCAAAATCGTTGCATTTGATCTCCGGTTTGAACTCCAGCAAACCACGCAACTCTCAGGGTATCCTCTGACCAGTCTTTGGTCTCTAATTCGAACTCCAATCATTATTGCGACTCTCTGGTTCAAAATCCAATCATCACTCTCTCTTCATTTGTTCTCCATTGGTTCCACGCCTTCTCCGACTTTCTAAGTCCCTCATTCTCTATTGCTTGGTCGAAGTTCAGTAAATCCACTTGACTCCAATAAGAACCTAGCTTCATTGGAACCCTAGCATCGTATCGTAGGAACCTCCCCAACAGTCCCAAAGCTTTATCCTCTCTAATTTGGAAGTTCCTATATTGTCGCCTACTCTTCTCTTGTGATAATCAGAGTGCTAGCCTCACAACTCTGTCTTTCACGAGCACACGAAGCATATATAGATTAATTGTCAACATCTGCAGTTGGATACTAATGCACTGCCTTTTGTTTCATCTTCCTTGCAGCTTGAAGACTTCTTCAAGAAGACTCACAATTCTGCTCATTTTCAATTTTTATTTGGCAAACTCTCTATGCTCACCAGGCTCAAATCATGGTTTTTGGTTAATTCATATTTTCAATAAGGGTATTTTAGTCTTTAAGGCTATTTGCAGTTTTCTTCTCTTTTTACTTTATATAACTATGTAATTGGCTTTAGGGTTTAATAGCATATACACAATTTCTTTTCTCTCAAAGCTTGTAATACATAATACATGTGTCATCAACCAGTCAGCAGCCCTTTCCTGTATTACCAAAGTAGGAAACTATCTCAGTTATGTCAAATTTCTACATCCCAAGATGCCAGTAATAGTATTAGTATATAATATATTATCCTTGGGCCAAATATGCTGTTTAGTAATTCATCTGCAGTAAAAAATTGAATTAGCTAAAGCTTCAGCATAGCAACTTTAGCCCATCTCAGCCAGGGAGGGAAATTAATAAAAAAGGAAACAATTAGCAAAATAATCAATCATGTTAGTCATGTGAAAGATAAAACATACAGTCATCCCCCAACCCATTCAAAAACAAAAACAGAAGTTCTCTGTTAACAATACATTTTTTTCCTAATTTTCCAATAAGTAGACTCTTCATGAGCCTGAAACAATCCGCCTCTAATCCTGGCCCATGTTCACAGAAGTGTAAGCGCAAAACAATCTGTGTTTGTATATATATATATGAAAGTTTAAATTCAATTTTAAATATACATAATGTATAATATATATATATATATATAACCAAACCCCTAGAAAAATTATACAAGGATTCAAGTCATAATTAGTTGTCTTTTGATAACCCAAAGAGGCCATATTTGGTCTCTTATCCCTCAAGACCCGGTCAAATTCAGAGAAACCAAATGTACAGGCGCTGGCATAGAAGTTCATAGTATAAAGCTCAATTACCGTTTTTGCAGTTCTCCGTGCTTCCTCACTAAGTTCTGGTTATCACTACTACCTGCTTTCTCATCAGCATCCCAAGAATCAGATTCAGATGTGGCTGGAAGGTCCTCCTGAGCATCATGAAATCTAGATTCATTTGCATCAACAGGGATACTTCTCTCAGCTTGCTTTCTTGACCTGTTCATAGAATGTAAACTGATAACTAAATAAGATTCAAAAAGTATCTCTCCAAAGGGAAACAACTAAAGAATTGGTCATCAATTCAAATACACCATTCCAGATGCAAATCACCCCCTCAACACAACCATTGCAGCCAAAATGACAGATTGTGAGGATATATCTGTCTACAAATTGATAACATAGCTCCTCACATAGTTCACCAGTTTTTAGCAAATAAATAGACAACATAGAATCCCACAGAAAGCCATATTGAAGAGATTGTCGGTTTACCCATGCTGGAGGCAGAAAATTCTGCCTGTACCAAACTCAATTTCAATACGAAGAAAAAACATCCAAAGAGTATTAACCTCCATATCTTGTGAACAATTTCCTTCTCAGGATTCTTACAGCTAGCCAATTTTTCCTTCCACGTCAGTAAATTACCAATCATGCTGCCAAAAGAAACATAAAAATTCAAAACCATCGAATTTAGCACAAAGAAACAAATTAGAACCCTTTTTTATCTAAGCAAAGTGTAATTAGATAAAGAAACAACTTAGAACATTGTGTACAATAGTGGAAAAAGAGGTAGCTCGCAACATTACATACCCATTATGATACTTCTGCAACTCTGAATAGTATACCTTCTTACTTGCCTTGAAGCATTGTTCCTGATGAAGAACAACATCAGGATGACGATTACCATAACAAAGTGAAGCACCCCTGCAAGGACATAGAATTACACCACAAACCATCCAGAAATAACATTTTTCCAAAGACAGGTTCATATAAATTTTAAAAATTGCACTTGCTATGTAGGGCTACAAAAAACTTGAAACGTTTATGGAAAAATCAGGCTTGGCTTCTTTAGGAGCTTGTTAAAGTCATTTGGAAAACAAATGAGTTTGAATGTATATTTCCCTAGTTTCTTCTTCTTAGTCTATTTTTATTTAATATGACTTATTTTTATTTATTTAGACTACCTAAAATTGGTATTTGGGCAACAAACATAAAATTTACAATAAAACAGCTCATACAATACACAGCCATGCATAAAAATTGGATCAGGTATGATCAAATCGAGATTCCACAATCCTATAAGATCCAACAATCAATATTGAAAGATCCTACTTACTAGGAATTTTTTACACAATCCCGATTGGGATTTTGATAATCATGAGCACAACCAAATTTGCCCAGCCTATGCCACTCTTCTCTCAACCTGACAACTAAAGCATATAAATCAGCCCAATCCAGCCTAAGCTACTGTTCACAAATATTGTTCACAGTGCCTATAAGACCCCGAAACAGCGCCTAAAATCCCATCTTTTAATGTTCAAAACCTTATATTCATTATAGGAAAATTACTAGTAGTCATAAAAGAGTGGTCCTACATCATTTGTGAAAAACATTGCTCATGATATATCATTTTCATCCAAGAAATAGAAATCGGTACATGTTTTTCCAAGGGTGAGACTTTTTTACATCGCATTATATATTTATCTATCTAGGAATCTTTCTTACAACACCTACACTACATGTATACACATAGTTTCTGCATTCTAATAAATAAAATCATCAAAGAACAATTTTTAAAAAAGTTTATAGTAACAAAATAATAAATAATAGAATTACCCTTTGTTCAACATGGAATGGAGTTGATCTCTCAAAACAAACAAAAAAAATAGTTATTTCATATTATTAAGTTTATAAAACATTAACTTTGCAAAAGACCAACTGACCGAAAACGTTACACACCAAAATAGCTACTTTAATTTTGAAAAAATGGCAAAACAAAGCCATGAATTTTCAACACAAAAATACCAATACTTGCCATTTGAGGAAAGGATTTCCAAAGTGAAAGTTATCCTCTGAAAGCAATTCTTGGACAACTTGATGTGTCTCAGCTCCCTTGGGAAGAAACTGTGTAAGATAGTGTCTCTCATTTTCGGATAAATGAGTCTGCCAAACCTATAATAATTTCACACAAGATACATAGAAAAATCTGAACAAACAAGTCACTTAAAACAAGAAGATAGTAATTTTGTGTCACCATGAAATTCGTGTTACCTCATAAGAGAGCACCCCTTTCAAATTGTCCAACTCAAAAATTTCATGAGGAACAACAAGAACATCTGCCAAGATATTGTGGCAATGAGGAACATTACCAATGAATGGAATCAAGTCTCTCCGTGTTAAGCCAATCTGTTCCCTCTTGGCAACAACACTCTTCTTCTTGTCGTCCCACTCAAGAGAAATATTGGATCTCACGCTCAAATCACATTGTAGCAATTCCAATTTATTCTTTTTTGCTCTGCCCTGCTCCCGAGAACTAGCAATGCTGGCATTGCTTAATCGTTTCTTCCTCTTATCAGCCGCCATTAGCACAAATTATGAAGATTATCCACAGCAGATCATAATATTAATACCTAACAAGTGGTCATGATCACAGTCAAAGAATAACTTCCTTCCCTATGTTTACTGAAGCCACGATTTATAAATATTATCATTAGCAAACTAACTTAAATGGTTTCACAAAGAAGAGAACCAAAAAAACACGCATTATGCCTACATGGCATCCAAAACATACTTAAAAATAAAATAACAAAACAATCCAAGTACATTACATAATATTGCAAAGTGTCATATAATCATATTTTCAGAAAAATACCAATTGAGTCGCTAATTTGAAGACCCTTAATATTATCACTTTCTATTAGAAAACAAGACACTCTTTAATAATAGTCACTCATTACTCAACATGAAAATTACAGTTCTTTGCAGGAATTAAGAAGGATTCAGAAGTTAATAATACTGTCTTGGAACAATGAAGGCTGTTCAGATAACATGGGAATGAATGCACAACTTTGCTGCTTTTATCATATAATAATAAACTAATATGTTCTTGCCATTTTAGCAAGTAATATAAATATGCACACAGACACTGAAAACCTATAAGAATTTTACAAACTTTAGAAAGGGAGCATGACTCGGTAACACAAAATATCACTGATATTAACAAGTAAACATAAACAGACAGGTAGACATTGAATGCAACAAACTTGATCTATATTTCCAACTTTGGTTGGTTTCAAGGTAAGTCACTCACTCCTTTGAAATTACAAAATATGAAGAACCAATTCCCTATTTCCCTTCCTCATCCTTATGAAAACAATATGAGTTTAAGCTCAAGGAAGTAACTGTGTCTATGTCAAGTAAATAATCCGTTCAAAGTTTTCATACCATCTGAATTCATCATAATCTATCCACGGAAGCACCAACAATGCGAGATACAAACCTTAGTACAGGGCAGGAGAAAAAAGATCCAAAAAAAAAAATTTACAACTCCTAAGTGCAGCTCCAGTTCAGTATCATCAGATGCTTCATCAAAATTTTTTTTTTTGAACGAGATGCTTCATCAAATTTGAAAGTACCAAATGAGGCAATCCAACCCTTTCACCAAAATCATATCAAATAGAGCAAAACCAAAGCTTTCATCAAATGAAGCAGCCTTTCATCTTTTATCAAATTTAAATTTACCCTGGGGCGATGTCCACCAAGTCCACCAAAAGCAATTTTGACAGTTTTTTTCGGTTCATGTCCGGACGACTTCTAAGACATCCGCTCGGACGTCCTCTCGGACAACCGGGCATGTGAAAAAATAGCGTTGAAGTGAACAGCATCAAATCAAATTTTTCATCAAAATTTTACTAAAATTTGATGAAATTTTTTATTCAATGTTGGAGATGGTCTAAGGCATCCAATATTCAGGTTCAGACAAACTATTTACTAAAAAAAAAATGAAATAGCACAATAATAAAGATTCCGTCTTTGGTTTTAAGAGAAACAAAGCCCTAGAAATTGAAGAACAGTGGGAACACAAACAATACCTGGAGCATACTCAAAGCCCGAGTGTACCCAATAACTCCAAGCTATACCTGAGGACGATTCGCAGTGAAATAGTGAGTTTGATCCCCCAGCAATAAATTAAAGATTGAGGGGAAAAAAGAAACGCCACTGGTTTTTCAACAAGGAGAGAGAAATAAAAGATGGTTTGGTGTTATCCGATTCGCTTGGAGAGGAGGGGCGGAGAGAGAGAAAGAGGGAGGGCACAAATGTATAAAAGAGAGGAGGGAGAGGAGAAGAAATCAGACGACGAGTGTGTGTTTGGTTTTGTGGGGGAACCGTTACGCAAGTCTCCTTTTGCAAATCATAGGATAGAATCCTATTTCCCTCAACATTCGCGCGCGCTTGGGGCTCCGGCTTGGCTCGAGCCTTATGCTATGCGTATGGGATCCCTATCCTATCCCTATCCCTATCCCTATCCCATCGGCGGTTCGGTATCTTCTGGGTCGGTGATATTACTTAGGTTAGGTTAGGTTGTGTTTAATTGGACGGACTGCATAAGGAGAGTTAAAATTCATTAGACTTGAATCTTGAGATTGTGAATTCTTCAGATTATTTAGTTGGATTGAATATGTATTCTGTGTTTATTTTTTTATGGAATATCCCTATCCTATCCCTATCCCTATCCCTATCCCATCGGCGGTTCGGTATCTTCTGGGTCGGTGATATTACTTAGGTTAGGTTAGGTTGTGTTTAATTGGACGGACTGCATAAGGAGAGTTAAAATTCATTAGACTTGAGTCTTGAGATTGTGAATTCTTCAGATTATTTAGTTGGATTGAATATGTATCCTGTGTTTATTTTTTTATGGAATTAAATATCTATTTTTACTAAATTTAACGTTTGGTTGGACGGACTGAATAGAATAAATTAACAAAATACTATTTTACTATTTTTCAATTATTTATTAAGTAATAGCAATATTAAACATATTTTCATATTTTAATTATTTTTAGTTAGATTAAATAAAAATTTATTTTATTTTATTTTTTACACAATTAAATAAATTTATTTTTTTTAAAATAAAATAAATAAAATATCAATAAAAATATATGTTATTTTTTTAATTAAAATTTTAAATTAATTTGTTTTTAAAAATAATAATAATTAAACAATGAAATTAAATAAAACATCTATTAACATTTAAATAATGAAATTATATCAAATATAAACCAGATTTTAAAATAAAATATCTATAAAAAATTATTTTAAAAAATTAAATAAATATAACATCAATAAAAAGTTAAATAAAATTATTATATTTTTAAATTGAGACATTTAAATTTTATTGAATTTTACTAAATATAATGCATAATTAAATAGTAGAAGGTCAAAATAGTCATTTTACTACCTAATCCCAAAAGTAAATTATCCCCCAAAACTGTCTCACACCCCCCCGGGATAGTATAATCCCCCATATAGAGGATAAGAAGTCCGGTGAACTAAAAACAAAACAAACGATGGACTACTCACTCCTTCGGATAAGCAATCTGAATAGTGAATAGTCCCTGCTAATCCCCCAATCAAACACACCCTTAAAATTCATCAGACTTGAGTCCTGGAACTGTGAATCCCTCGGACTATTTAGTTGGATTGGATATGTATCATGTGTTTATTTTTTCATGGGATTAGATATCTGAAAATGACTATTTTTAGTAAATCCAACGTTTGGTTGGACAGACTAGATATGATAAATGAACAAAAGACTGTTTTACTCTTTTTCAATTGTTTACTAAGTAATAGCAATATTAAACATATCTTTAATATTTTAATTATTTTTAACTAGATTAAATAAAAATTTATTTTTTAAAATAAAACATCAATAAAATATCTATAAAAAATTATTTAAAAATAAATAAATAAAACATCAATAAAAATTTAAATAAAATTATTTTATTTTTAAATTGAGACATTTAAATTTTATTGAATTTTATTAAATATAATACATAATTAAATAGTAGAGGGTCAAAATGGTCATTTTGACCACCTAATCCCAACAGTGGATAGTCCCCCAAAAACTATCCCATACCCCCTCAGGACACAATAGTCCCCCATATGGAGGATAAGGAGTCCGGCGGAAAAAAAAAAAATCAAACGACGGATAAGGAGCACTATTTGGATTGTCCCCCCCTAATCCGGCGAATCAAACACACATTATCAAAGGTTTATCAATTTTTTTATTAAATTTAAGGATGAATTACACTGATAGTCCCCACAGTTTGGAGCTCGTATCATCTTGGTTCTTGACTTTTCAATTGTGATACATTTGACCCTGAATTTTGAATCTTGTTCCAAATAAGGACAATTAAATATATCATTAGATTTTTTAAAGGTAAAATCGTTAATTTGATAAAATATAAACTAATTTGACAAAAATAGATGTCAAACAAATATTTTTGAATTTTTAAAAATTATTTCTACTCACTAAAAATAAAATTATGTAAAATTGATAAATCTTTTAGACATTTATTTATTTTTTTATCAAATTATTTTTTACTATGTGTTTGGATGATGATCATGTAAAATTAATCATGTAATTTTTATCAATTTTACATAATTTTATCATTGGTGGATAAAAATAATTTTTAAAAAACAAAAAATATTTTTTTGACATTTATTTTTGTCAAATTAGTTTATATTTTATTAAATTGACGATTTTGCCTTTGAAATTAAACAATTGTATCTTCAATTGTCCTTATTTAGAACAAGATTCAAAATTCATTGTCAAATGTGTCACAATTGAAAAGTTATGGACCAAAGTGATACGAGTCCCAAACTATAAGGACTATTAGTGTAATTTGCCCTAAATTTAAATAAAAATTTGAACAAAAGTCTTTTTTGATATTAATTATTTTAATGGAAGATTTTAGAGCTTTATCATAATATTAGTCGGACGATCGGGTGGATGTTCGGTTAGTTAATAGGTCAGTATAAATTTTTTTGTTTTTTTTTACCTTGAGATGGTCGACTAGACAGTCGACCAGGCCAATATAATTTTTTCACAAATTTTTACCTTTAGGTTGTCATCTGGGTGACATCCGGCAATGGCAATGAACATTGATTTGATAACATGGGCATCAGTCCTAAATTTGATGATAGAAAAGTGAAATCCTCAATTTAATACGTATTTGATTTAACCTTTGGAGCAGCAAAATGACTCATTTTTCATCAAATTCAAATTTGATTAAAAGTTTGAGTAATCATTAGAGATGGTCTTAACAACAGTAAGCGATCCAATCAATCGCAGTACACGGGACGGGGAGTGATACCCCGTTCCAATTCTTTTTCTTTTAATAATTTCATCAAATTTAAATAAAAAAAGATTTGTTGAAAATTTGATAAGAGATTTGGTTTATTCTTGATTTGACAAACAAATTTATTTCTTTCTTGATTTGATATAAATTTGATAAAAAGCATTGGATGATATTTTTACCAAATTTTTCATTAAATTTAAATTTAATGAAATATTTGGTAAAGGATTGGAGATGCCGTTACACCACTCCATCATCATATCATATACCAAAGAAAAAAATATACTATACACACTTTTTGCAAATGGTGTATCATATATATCTTTAATTATATATATATTTTTATTAGTTATGATTAATTTTTTTATTTATGATAATATTTTAGTTATGACTCATAATAATTTTTTATTATAATTTTTTTTTGTTATAATTTAAAAACTATGAAATTGTACCATTTTATTTTTTAATTATAAATTATATATGACAGACACCCTTTTAAGGATAAGTACCATAGTTTTTCCCCTTTTATAAGTTTGTTTTCAACAAACTCCTTTTGCAATGCCGAAATAAATAACTCATTAACTTATTTGGGTTATATTATTTTTTTACTTTTTTATATATTTTTTATAATAATAATAAAAAAAAAGTCATATCCAAATCAAAACAATTTGCAGAGAGGAGCTAATTTGGCTATTATTGCATGCATTACAATTCCTCGTGTATGGAATTACTAACAATAATAAGACACCTTGACGGTAAATGTTTGCTAAACAAACATTTCTTAAATCTGATCCATTTTCTCACAAGACAATGTTTTTTCTTTTTTCTTTTTTTTTGGGGGAGGGGGGAGAAAAGTATTCCTTCCGGTACAAATTTTTGATTGGAAGACATTGTTTGAGCCCGTGGAACTCACCGTGAGTTTCGCATCAATGATTCGAACCGTCATTTTTGTTGGATACTTTGTTTATTTTATCCATATAAAAAATTAGATTACTTTGATAACTATAACTTAATTTATAATTTTTTTATTTTCGTAGAAACATGATAAATTGAATAAATTACATTTATCAAATCGATCTAATTTTTTGTATAAATGAAATATAGAAAGTGCCCAACAAAGATCATCGAAACGGGACCCGTGGTGAGTTCCATGAATTCCAAAAAACACCATCTAGTCTAGATTTTCGACTTGATAAGATCTCTTTTTTCCTATAATTTTAATACAAAAAATTATACTGAAATAATGTAAAGGTAATATTATATACTTCAAAAAACATATTGACAAAATGTTTACTTTGAAATTAATATGTGGCATCTTTTTTTTTTTTAATATATATTTTTTAGAGATAATTGTTAGAAAATCCAACTTAATGAGGGGATAAGGCATTAGATTTAATGGATATTTTTTACTAGTGAGAGGTCCACCTTTTGTTAAATAATTTTGTGAGAAATCTTTTTATTTGTTTTGAAAGACATTTTCTTTCTAATTTTATCCCTTAATTTATCCGTTGACTTTTTTTTTATCTATTTAACTTTTTTTGTGACTATCTGTTCAAATTTGTATCTATGTGTTCAATTTTTTTTGACTATCTGTTCAATTTTTAAATCTTACATGTTTAAAATTTTACTATCTGTTGAAATTTACCACACCATCTATTGAAATTTTACACTTCTTATTCTCTCTATCTGTTGAAATTCTCATTTTAACTTATCTATTTGTTGGAATATCTATATGTTGAAATTTCTTATATATTCAAATATCTGTCCAAATTTAATTATATGTTCAATTTTTTCCCCTCAGTCTGTTCAAATCTATTCAAATTTTGAACATATCAACAGATATCTGTCAAATTTTTTTTAATCAATTGCTATATGTTTCATCATATCATAAACGACAATAACAAATCTATCTAAACTAAAAACCTATTTGTTATCTAAACTAAGAACCTGTATGTTCAAGTTAATAGAGTTTTTCAATTCTACTTTGTAAATTAGAGAGATTCATCACATTCCTCACACCACAAGATTCCTCAATAAAAAATAAAAACTAAGCAAAGCAATTCCATAATAAAACTTCACAACTCTTTTTTTGTATGTATGTAATTGTG